ACGTCAAGATATTATAAGACCAGGCAGATAGAGGGGTAAAAAACAATATTAATAAATAATATATACAAATAATACTAATATTAATGATATTAACATACTATTATTAATGAATTAAAACATCATTAAAAAAGTTATTTATAACACCAATAAGGTCCTATATAGCATTTTCAAAGCATGGTTCTATATGGAACCCTATAAAAAAAGTTCTATTTAGCACTAAAAAGGGTTCTGCTACTGTAAAGCCGAAGACCCCTTTTCTGGTACTGTTTAGAACCATTTTTCTTAAGAGTGTAGTTAAAGCCACCTAATATAAAGTGTGACCCATTTTTTCTTATACATTTCTCAGTTTTAAATCTAAAATTGTGATAGTGATAATGTTAATGGACATTAGCATTAACGTGTTAACAGACATGTTATATGTCAACTACCCATATAAACACTAAGGAAATAAACATGACAAAGTGGTAATATTATTTAACAGTTAGTTCGTGGAGGATATGCATGATGCATGAAGATTAACAGAATCTTACCAGTGTCATCAGTGTATAATTCCCCAGTCTTTTAGACATGCATATAGGGGTAATTGTTACATACGTATAAGATCAAAGAATCTGCTGTACTGCTTGATAAATGAAGCTGTGTATCACCTTTGGAAAGTATTAATTGGTCATGTCAACCCATGAACACAGAGCCTCTCACTTTCTATTATTCTTCTATTATTATCAAGGTGCATGGATAATAGAAAAGGGGTTAAATATACATGAAAACACCACTGGATTGTATTTCCTGCTCAGGATACAGGGACTGCCAGCAACTGACAAGAATATGCACAGGTCTGAAATCATTTATGTAGGAGCACAAGGGTAATAAAGAAATACAAAACAATTTATTTAATTTCCTTAAAGGGGTCATGAACTGCCTTTTTAAAAATTATTTTAATTACATTTTTTATTTTAATTACAATTATTTAATACAGTGTAGGTGTCATATGGGCTCTTTAATGATAATTTTATGGCTTTTTTTTGTCGATTTTGGAGTTTGACAGTCACTGGTTGTTATTTACTTTTATGGAAAAGAGCAGTGTAAATATTCTTGAAAGCATCGCCTTTACCGTACCATTAAAAATAAAATAAAATAAATACATTTTGAGCAAATACTGGATGTCAACAGATAAACTCAAAATACATTCAACACCTCTCTCCCTCTCTTTGGCCAGTAACCATGTATGAATTAAATTTTAATTTGCTTCTTTGACATTTCTTTCTTTATTCTTGACTTGTTCACCCTGGCACACACCCCCTGATCTCCCTTTCTCTTTTTCTTCTTCTCTGTTCCACCAGTCTTGATCTTCTCATATCTTTATGTCTTTAAAATGTGAAGTGAGAGGTGTAATGTGTAAGCTTGGGTGGTGCATAGATGATGACTGTAGATAAACGTACCCTTGTCCTATTTTCTCAAAACGTGTGTATTTCTTCTTAGGATCGCCAACGCTAACAATGCTTCCTGGATGAAAGGAGAGTCCTGTAAGACTATACATATGTACACAGAAGCAAACACATACACACAGAGCTTTTGGAAAAGTAACTGCTGAAGAGGGATGATTGAGTATCGTTGGTAGAGTAAGAACATTGATCTCTGTCTGTTATAAGAAATATAATGTCTGTTTTAGTGCTGAGTGCTGTTGATAATCTGGATCGCATGTGTAGAGTCAAATGGAAAAAAAGACAATGATTCACGTGTGCATACAAGAGACCAGACCTGCATTCCTAGTCAAAAATCCTAAAAGAATGTGTGTTAGATTATTACCGGAATTTCATCAGATTTTGGAACCAATCCCAAAGGATACTAATGGAATTGAATGAGAATTTAAAATGAATCTAAATCTAAAATCTGAATCTAAAAATGATATACAATCATCTTGGATAAACAGACATTCCTACCTCATTTTTTTTTGGTTTTATTGGATTATGAAAGTCCTTGAAATTCTTTTTGATGATGTACAGGAATATTTTATCTTAATAGGGAATCATAATAGTCCTTTTGGGATATTTAGATTACATTTATACATTTGGTAGGCACTTTTATCTGAAGCCGCTTGCAGCATATTCCAGGTATTTTACCACATTCCTTTAGGATTTTTCACTAGGGTGTAATTTCAAAATTTCTTATCTGATGTTTGAGAAGAACCTTTAAAAATGGAAACCTTAAAATTCAATTTAACAATTTATATGTATTGTGACTTAAAATACAGCGACACAATTTTGTCATTCATGAATACCACAGTAATAAACTAACAATTAAGTATCAATTTATTGAAATATTCTAATTACTAATATATATTTTTCTTTTGCATTTATGAGTTGATGTATAACCTTTTAAAGGCTAAGATTACTGGAGCCCTCGAACCAAATGTTGCTATAGTATCTCATAACAGTTAAATAATATTCTACCGTCAAACATACAGCTAAAAGCAACACTCTTGCCTACATACTGAGTTTTTCCAGTATTTCCTCATCTGTCATCTTGGATTTCTTCCTCTGTCGGTCAGTGTGACGGTATAGCGTACTGGACGTGTTCTCTGGCTGTACTTGAGACTCTGGAGGGGTCATGTCCTCTTTGACAGAAGCAGGAGGTGCAGCTGGCTCAATAACAGAGCGAGTGAAGATCTACAGAAAGATACAGTGATCGAGTAAAAGCAGAGATATGCATAGTAAAGAGAAAAAGAAAGGGAAATACGAGAAATTATAAATTTCTTAATTGTTTCTCCTAGACAACAAGATGAAATAGAGACTTTAAAGGGATAGTTCACCCAAAAATTAAAATGACCCCATGATTTATATGACCCTCATTATTCATGAGTGTCCCGGACATGTGCGTGAAACTGAGCATTTTTTAGTTCACGCTCCTTATATCTCAGAAGGTTTAATGGAATATTTCAAAAAGAGGTAAATATATTTCCAGCATTGCGCAAACTTAGGCCTAAACTACATTTGTTCATCATTTCGTGACAGTTTATAATGTTTTTATTAGTTTGCAGTGCACATTTTTTTTTTTATATTCCGGTACCTTTTTTAAATATTCCGGTAAACTTGCTGAGATACAGTATTAACTAAAATTCTCAGTTCCTCGAGCATGTCTAGGAAACTCATGAATATTCATTTATGCTCCGCCCACTGAAACCTAAAATATCAGAAACCGAAAATCTCATAACACCAATAAGAATATGCTAGTCTCACGAGAAACAAGTTTTGTTTACAGGGGCAAAGGAAGCAAAGTTTCCTTTGTTTAGCAAAGGCTTATATCGAAATCCTCTGACATTTTTCTTTACAAATCCTCGTTTTGTACTTCTAATTCGTGACCTGTGTTTTGCTTTGCTCTCTCCTCTGCACTTCCACATTCTTCACTTCTCACTGGAGCTTACGCTACACCTACGTCCTACATCATCCGCTGGAACACACTCTCTCATGTACGCGCGTACGACAGTTAGCGGAAGATAGAGATTACGGTTTATAAAATTTTAAATATGGATATAGTTATTACAAAAACACGTTGATTCACTTCAGGAGGCCTTTATTAACCCCACAGAGCCGTGTGGAGCACTTTTTTATGATGGATGGATGCACTTTATTGGACTATTGAATCTCAACCCCCATTCACTGCCATTATAAAACTTGGAAGAGCCAGGACATTTTTTAATATAACTCCGATTGTATTCGTTTGAAAGAAGAAAGTCATATACACATAGGATGGCTTGAGGGTGAATACATCATGGGGTAATTTTCATTTTTGGGTGAACTATCCCTTTACGTCTCAGATTTTTCTCCTGAGAAATTTTGTACATAATTTTTTTTGTTCATAATGTATTATGTATCTAATATCTAAAAATTATCATGCTGTACTAACAGATTTGGTGTGCTCAGGTCGTGGGGCAATGATGGGTGGAGCCTCATCATCATTGTCTTCATCTTCTTCTTCCTCTTCGTCCTCCTCTTCCTCATCTTCTTCTTCAGACACCGGAGGTGCAATAGGAGGTTCAGAAGTCGTCTTAGCCCCTTGCTGCACTCCCAAACAGACACACACACATATGCGCAGAGTGCAAACAGGGTTGAGCACTTGAGCCACAATCAATAGATATCACAAATGCATTTCTGTAGCCCACTGCTCATTCATAGCCTTCATATCTAGCAATTTTAATTAGGACTACTTCTCAAATTAAACTGTAGAGATTACTCCACAGTAACTGTTTCAAACAGTAGTATGCTACAGTGCATTGTTTTATTTAAAAATGCAAAATAACTTTTTATTTCTAAGATTACAACTGGATAATTTATAATCTTAAAAATAAAAAGTTATTTTACATTTTTAATTTTTTTTTAATTTTTATAATGGGTTAAAATGGCTGTGATTACTTCTGGTTCATTCATCAAAGAGAAAATCACAGTTAAAACAAATTGCATTGTTGATACATTAACATACTATGCATAAATGTACATACTATGCATAGTATACATACTATACGCTGCAGCAAAAGAAAGTATGCTTGTATACTATTCCTTATGCTGGTATGCACTACCGATATAGATAGACCCTTTGCAAAGTCAAATGGCAAATTGCAAGATCCTGAGCTAGGTGTCACTGCAGTTTCTGCAATGTCTCGTTCCCTCATCTCAGGAAACCAAGTTTACGTGAGTAACCGGAGACGTTACCTATTGATTTAGTTCACTCAACATTGCCTCAGAGCGTATAAAATTACACCATGTGTTACAGTGAGGGGTTGTGGCTCAAGTATGTCAAGTTACACAAACACACATATAATGTGCCGACAATCCAGTGTGACTTTCCAGTGTGACAGTCTTTGCTTAGACACAGGCAGGCCGTTCATGAGTCCGCCATGACTGCAATGGCTTGAATGGGGGTCCCGCGAGAGGATCCAACACAAGTGCCAAGTCCCAAGTTGGTAGGGTGGAAGGGCGAGGGGGGTTCATCCTTTTTGCACCCTTTAAGAATCACACCCTAGGTTATTTCTACCGACTGGGCAATTATCAAAGTGAGTATGGAATACTTTTATAACAGCCACATACACTTTCAATGTAGAGGATGTATGGTAAAAAAACACTCTTAAAGGAAGTAAAGATTGATTGTTATTGGACAGTTAAACGGGTCTTTGCCCCACAATCTGGACCAATTTGTGAAAACCATTTATGTGTGTATAGATGCCTTAGTGGAAGGAGCCCTGGCCTCGAAGATAGTGTTTAACATACTGAGAAAGCGCATCTTGTGCTGGCAAGCTCCGTTGAGCAGCTAGACACAAAGATTAGATTAAACTCTGGGGAGGGATGCCATATCATATCATCAGGGATGCGTCTCTCCTCAGCTGGATAGTCCACTTCCGCCCTGTTCGAATAAACTCCAAATCATATTGACATTCAAAGGGTATAATCCCCATTATCTGTGAACCACCCCACCCCTTGATATTATGTCTGTACCGCAATCCAGCCCCTGCCTGACGCATCTGTTGTAATACTCTTTCTCTTGATCACCTGGCCAATAGGAACACCCTGGTGATACAACGTCATATCGTGCCAGTGGGCCAAAGCATCCAAAAAGCCACGTGTTAAATTGGATGCCACATGCTCGGAGGCATGCAACTCTTTAGCCAGAGCTGAAGTGGTCACATATGCAGGAATCCTAATCTGCACACTGCTGATGCAGCAGCCATCAGTTCGAGCATCCTCTGAAAATATTTTAGTGGAGGAGACTGCCCTAACTTGAAGACTGCAAGAGAGCGGATCACTTTCAGCGAACACTCCTCTGAGAGAGATTTCATAACCCACTCTGATACTCCTGGCTGTGCCTGCCATGCTTTGGTATGTAAATTGTGACAGTAGGCGAGGTGGACTGCATTGCATATTGGCCAGAGAAGAACTGTGCCCGGTTGCATGAAAGCCCTTAAGTGATTTGACTTAGGGGTATCCCTGAGGAGAAAAAAAATCCCAGAGCAAGGGTTTAGAGCAGTGGTCGCCAACCCGTCGATCGCGATCGACTGGTAGATCTTTATCACTGTCCCAGTAGATCCCGAAAAAAACAGTAAAATAAGTACAAAAATGCATTACATTTATGGGGTTATATTAATCTTTCACTGAAGGGTACTGTCTTGAGAAAAGTAGGAAACGCTATAGTGCGGTGGGTTCATAAGCAGTGTTGCCAAGTCCGCGGTTTTCCCCATTGGGCTACTTTAACACTGTTGCCGCGGGTTGTTGTTCATGTCCGCGGGTTGAAGCGATCCCAATAACGTGATATTTAGTCCCTGGAATGTGAATTTTACTGGAAGATCACCGCCGAAAAACGTGTATTTTACCCCCGGAATGCGATTAATTAAAATACTAAGTAAAGGGCCTCAAATTTGAAGTACAATCTGGGATGTCTTTTTCTATCAATTCTTCAATAGGTAGATCTTGTCTTTCATAAAGGCCGAGGTCAGGGATCTTGGGCCTAAAAAGGTTGGTGACCACTGGTTTAGAGCATTGCAACTTAAGTGTCACCCTTACCTAAGTGTTTATGTTCTCAACCAGAATAATACTTTTTCCCGTGGCGGCAACATTAGGTATGTTTATTTGCTGCCTTTTACCGTTAAGTGGCGCTATAACCATAAACTCTGAAAAGTTAGAAAGTGAATATGTAGGAGGCTCATTCTCCCAAGTAGTTTACTGCGTAGTGGAGAAATTAAAGTGAAACATTTAATTTTGGAAACATAACTAAACAAAATCATCATCACAGGACCAAATTTAGTACTGAAAATTAAATGTAGGCGTTCATTACGAAAATTAACCATGGTTTTATTATAGTGAACATGTAGTAACCACCAGGTTTTTTTTGGGCATATTGATTACCATTTGTATAACCACAATTTTACTACAAATACCTTGGTTAAACTATGGTTAGTGTAGCAACACCAAGGCTAATTTGTGGTTACCATGGTTTAACTATTGTAACCAATTTTGTAGTAAAAAGTTTCATAAGGGTTATTTGAATAAAATTCAAATACAGAAAGACTTTGATTCCGTGCTTAGTTCTTAATCTATATTATAAGTAGAAATGCATGTCAGTAGCATTTTTAGTACACTCTAAAAATGCTGGGTCATTTTTTTTAACCAAACACTTGGGTTGAGCCTGCAGGCTTTTTCATCCTCTTCAGGAGAGAGCGGTTCTCATCACTGCCGAATTGGTGCATTTTTTCGGTAAAATACAAGTTTGTGTACGTTTTATTTGATCTATAAAACCATTACTGTGCTGTAAATCATTTTATTATATACAAGGCAACATATAGGGACGCGATGTCAGTCACCTAAACGAGGTTTAGGTATTTTTATTCCTAAAAATCCTGAATCTGATTAGCTTGGATGTTAAAATATGTTCTCTGAATTGTGTATTTGTTTATGGGCAGGTTATGTAGTCAATAACAGCATTTTTTTGGCTAAGAGTGAAAACGCGGGACAGCGGTCTGAATTTTGCAGTTCCCCCACCAAACGAGCCCAGCTCCGGCAAGAGATCCACTGTTAGTGAAAACCAACTGGATAACAGAGACCGGTTGATTACATGTGTAATTTTTTACTTCTTAATCTTCGTTAAACGAGTTTAAACTTAGGCAATAGGCCTATTGTATACTTGTTAAAAACAAGTATCACTCGGCGGCCATACTTGCAATGCCTCCGAGTAGCTCATCCAAGACCAAGTCCTGTCTAAATGAAAGGGGGAATCCTGAAATCTCAAAAACTGCCCTATGAACTCACAAATAAATTACAAATTTAAATCAGCAACAAAATCTGAAATGAACTGCCCCATGAATGTTGTTTGTTATGCTCAAATAACGTTAAAAAAAGCGTATTTTTCAGGCTAGACCAGCCAATGCGCATCTGCAGTCAAAACACGCTTATGACTGGTCAGTTTTCTATGGGAACCGGAGCTTCTACACGGCCGCTGCAGTGACGCAATTACTTTACCAATCAGTGAGATTGACCCAGTCACTAACGCAACATTTGGGTAACACAAAAACTACCCAACACTGGAAAAAATAACCCAACACAATGACCCAAGAGGCTCAACCCAGCGATTGGGTTGAAAAAATAACCCAGCGTATTTTAGTGTATAGAACTCCACCTGTATACAGTACTGTTTGTAAAGAGAGTGAGAGAAAAAACATGACACTTTTCCTAAAATTATTCTATATATTTAATTTATAATATATTTTCATTTCAAAGGATGAGGAAAATACAGTGACTTTAATATCTTTGCAGCTCTGGAAATAGCAAAGCGCTGTGCTTGCGCTGTAGACTAATAAAATAAAAAGTGAAATAGGCCTACACTCAGGGGCATAGCCATCATTTCAGAAGTGAGGGGGAGAGAAATGTCAAATCTATTTTTTATTTATGTATTATTAATTGATAAGTTGTATTTTTCTCTTATTTCTTACTTTTAACTGGCTAACAAATCAAAAACACTGCTAGAGAATAACCAATAATTTGTATTCTATTATATTTTTCTTATATTTTATATACTACAAACACTTTTTTCCATGGTTGCTATAGTTACTACATCTCACAATAAACAAAACATAACAAACCACAGACCTAAGCTTTACTACAACCACAGTTGTACTAATATATTTGCATTTTGGAGAATACCAATATCACAGGAAACAAAAAAATGTAAACCAAACTGGACAGAGGATGAAAAGGATGTATTATTTTAGAACAGGGGTGTCCAAAGTCCGGCCCGGCCCGTGGATGAATTATTTTTAAACAACTTGTCTATTAAAATGTATTATATGTGGCCCGCCAAGCATATTTACAAATCATGCAGTTCCCTTTCGAGAGGGTCTCTTGACATTGCGTACAGCGTAAGCTGATCACATTGGGGAAGCACCTTTCTCCTCAAATACTGAAGCCTTATTCGCGTAACGCCCAGGGCTGGACTGGGACAAAAAAAATCGGCCCTGGCATTTTTTGGTCCAGGCGGCCTATCACCACTTCGAGATATATATATACTATACCAGTCAA